CCTTCTTCTTCTTCTCCCTTAGTTTATATATTAGGTCTTCTTTCTTTACCTAACGGTCATTAATCATAGTATTTAAGTTGTCTGACTATATTACGGGTTGACCCTCTAAAATGCCGTTACATTCAATTCACCGCTCAATCTGAATACGTGACCTCGGCCATGGTCGTGGTGTGCGTCGTTATAGCGTGGCATGGACATGACTTCGGCTCAAGCAGCCTTTGCCGTCCCTTTTAATGCAAATTCTTATCCGGTCAATTTTTTGACCCATACAGCCATCTTTGGCAAACATATTTGATTTTGTATTATATTTTATATTGTAAAATGATTGGTAGAATAGACGTTTGTGTTATTTTACTACTTTGTGTGGTGGTAATTTATTATAGTAGTACCCTCTGCCCAAAGAAGAGATTAGTGTAAAAAGAATAACTGGATTGTCGATTGAATAAAAAAAAAAGCGTGATACATGAATGGTAATCATTTATAGTACTATATATAATTAAGGGTGAGAGATCTAATATACAGAGTAATTGTTAATACTTGGGCAAACGTGATTGGAGATTCCAAAACTTATAAGCGTTATTATAATGTAAAAATAAAAAGACTTATAACTACCACTAGCTTAAAAAAACATTACTTGAATATTTAAAAACAATGTGAAAACTAAATCAAATTGAAGTGTGCATAAATAGCTATTATACTAAGCTAGAAGTTAAAAGACGACATAAAAAAGAATAGACTCAAAGCATAAAAAAAAAAGAAATGCCTATTTTCATTCTAAATTTCAAACATCCCTAAAATAATACCAAGTGTTGGAAAGGCTGAAGTCAAGGCTGGGCTTGACTGCCGCACGGAAGTGAACCCCGAGCAGGAATTCGAGTGACATAAATCACCCCTGTGACAGTAAGGTATATGTACCACTATCTCTCCAAACCCCACTACGTGAGAATCAGGGGCGGATCTACTAACAAAAAATGGGTGCTCGAGCACCCATTAACCTCGACGCAGAGGATGTATAGTTATATAGAAAATTTGAGAAAATGTATAAAAATTTACAAAAGCACCCATTAATTTTATGTACAAAAAAAATTCAGCACCCACAAACTTTAATTCCTGGATCCGCCACTGGTGAGAATATATTGGGTATGTTATTGTTGTTTAATACCCTTATGCTGGAGCTATCATAACTTGCTATATCCTCGTGGGGACGAGAAAATGAGTAGCTTTGAAGCTATATACTCATACGACCAAGGAGCATCACGTTGGCTTTGAAGCAGCTGTGAGACACTGGCATTCTGTAGACGTCGGCTATTCCCATTTTCGACATATCCGACTGGACAATTTGGCAAAGGAAGAAGAGAGGAGAACATTTAAGATAAACTATATCAGAATGCAAACAAAGAAGACTAATGACTTTACAGATGAATGATCTTTATCAGCCATATTGACTATCAAATGCCTAGTTTTTTAAGAGTTCCAACTAAATCATCAAATGTTCCAATAGCTCAGACCAATAGAAAACATGAACAACTAATACATTCTCTTTTCATGATATAATCTTTTTTTCCCCAACGAGGATAAAAAAGTTGGACTACTATCACACTGAGCCCCAACTTGCTTGGGATTGAGGCACAGCAGTAGTAGTTGTTGTACTATCACACACAGGTCAATCTTCACCGCATGTTTTCACGGCGCCTCACATAACGTGTTCGGTCATTATATCGGGGTCTATCTTGAGCTCTCTGGGGCACTGGCTCCACTCTCCTTTGTCTTTCAGGTGACCTTTGAACTATCTCTCCATTCACAAATAGCTCAGCTGACAGTCATCAGATTAGAAAAAATGTTAGGGCAAACCTCATAACATATTATTACTATTTTCAAAGTCCTTGTTTCAATTTGCCATAAACCATGTCTAGTACTCTTCATTGCCGGGCCATAGGCCTAAATACTCAGGGAGACAACCAGAGGTACTACAAATGTTTTGAGCATAAAATATAAGAAGCAGCGGGATATTTACTTCCTAGCACAGACAACAAGATTGAGGCATAGTTGATTAATCGATTAATCATAGACAAAAGGATCTTCTAAGCACAAAGATGTGACAAGGAGATAGAGACAGGCAATCGTGATTGCTAATATAATACCAAAAGAAGCTTGTTTCTTTTCAGCATTTTTATTCATAGATCAACAATTTAGCACTATCCAAAACTGACAATGAAGAAAAACAAAGAAATGAGATGCAAGAATTTTATATGCAAAGGTCAATGAAGATGTCATTGATGCTTGACAGTAGATTGTAATCAAAGAGAAGATCGAAGAAAAAAACATGCTAAAGAAGTCTATGCGTGCAACACATGCAGGATGGGGATAAGCCAACCAGATCAAAGTGGTTCAAATTTCTTTCCTATTACCACTATAAAACACTAACAACCAAAATAGTTCTATCCTATAAAGGTTCATCACCATGATGCCTCTCGAGGGGAGTATAAATGTGGCCAAACAATTAATAACTACTCAAATGCTGAGGGATCTCTTCTCCTCGCTGAGATCAAATCTGAGGCTTCTGAGCTAATTTTTAATTGCAAAAACACAGTATATCTGTGAGCAGCCTAATAGTAATCAACGATTTCCAAGAGAGCTTGGAGACAGAGTGTGAACCATTGGAATAGCTTAAAACAATGTCAAATAACTGTGCTCTAACAGAAACTCAGTCACGGGTTGGTTTCCAAGATAGCAAACAGGACAAAAGGCACGTCTAGCCAAGCAGGTGCTACCAGTTACCACTATGGTAGAAAGACCAGATACAAATTATAAAAGAAAAAGTTCATGTTTTGCTTCTTAACACAGGTAGATCAGCAGCAGGAAAAGATGTACCTCCATAATCCTTGTTCTCTGGATCGACATATGAATCTGGTAGGACAAAGAGAACACCAGGCAAACCTGTAAAGATTTCAATTCAAAGCACGCAGACATTGAGATACATAGAGAGTTTGTGACTAGCATTGATTACTCAGTTACGGAATCAATAAATTGATCCAAAGTTCCAAACACTAACCTTCGAGCTTATTTGATGTCTCTTCATCAATCTCACATCCAAAACCAAAGTATCTTTCGCATGAAACATTGTATATCTTCTTCTTGGCCTCTTCTTCACTAGTTATCATAGTTCAGAACAAAAGCTGGTAATTTAGCATTTGAAATGTCTACAAAATTACTTTCAATCTAAAAAAGCATGGCTAAAAGAAATACTACAAAGGATGGAGGTTTCCCATGAAACATGATGTCTCTTTTCCCAATTCCTGTAGAAGTTGAGAAAGGAGTGAATGCTTTAAGGAGAAAATTCATATGGCAAGAGAAAAAGGAGAAGAAGGCCTACAATTTGGTAAAATGGAGCACTTTGCTTAAAAGCAAGAGGGATGGA